TATTTTGAACTTTCATGATCTCATTACAGAGCGAGGAATACTTCATCTAACAAATGAATGACTTTGTGGATGCATGATTACTTCATCTAAACATGATTATTTCAAGAAATTTTCAAAACCAAAAAAAAAAAATCAATATCTTCACTTCAGTCTTCAGTGATCCTTCCAGAATGGCAAGAAATGGAGAGTCAATGCATCTTTCACTTGAGATATATTTATTACCAAATTTTCCATAATGACCATACTTAATTACTCATAATTCCTAAAACCTGAAATTCACAGACCAGGCTCATCAAAATCCGAAGCTGATCCAACCTAATTCTACAAATATGAATATCAGTCAAACTGAAGATGTTAAAATAAATAAACAAATATTACTGTTATGAGAAAAAGAATCATGCAGCTGGCTGTGGCTTTATTCGTAGGGGTCCACCAAATCAATGCGATAATATTTTGATTGACCATCTCTTTGTGGATGTGATTTTGCAAGGATTGTTTAAAAGAAGAAAAAGACAGAGAGAAAGAAAGAAAAGAAACGAAGAAATTTTAAAGCAGTTAAGTTTTCTGGGTAAGGCCGACCCATAATCTTACTGCTGATATTATCAACACTGCTAAAACTGGATAGATGGAAATTGTCCACTTAAAAGTGATTAAAAGAAATTGTACCCGCATTCAAAGACGGGTATATAAAATACGAGCTGGATGGTACTTGTTGCTGAATCTTCGAAGATTTGCATTATCAGTTACAGTCTGTTGTGTGTTAGGTGCTAAAATTGGGTTTGATTCGATTGCACTGTAGAGACATGCTTAAACGTATGAATCAACTTCAACATGCTTTTATGATTAAGGCGTTATAAGTAAATCTGGAAAGCAGTGTTCATAAATAAATATTGATGATAGGAACAGAGACGCAGAGACGAAATAGATATATGATATTGAAGGATTTTGAGAAGGAGATTGCCAAGTTATACGCACACGACACATAAATATGGGTTGGCTTCAGCAGCGGCTAAGGTAGCTTAATGGAAGGTTCGAATAATATTGTGAAATTTTGGTTTAAAAAAAAGAAGAATAATATTGTGAAAGCGTGTGAAGAAAGGTGAATTTGAATAGCCTTTATAAGGCTTCTTCATACTCTGTTTCTCTGTTTATATACCCAAAGGACACAACAAAAGCACATTAATAAAAACTTGTCATTGTAAGTGTGCGTGCAAATGTACTTTCATGTTAACATTTGCTGTTTTATTTACTGAGTTAGTTTATTCGACTATTTGTCACATAGTTAACAACTATACAAGGCTGCGTTAGAAGTCCAATCGTTGAACTAAACGACCACGTGGAGACAGACAAAGTAATAATGATTCGAATATTTCAATTTAGTTTCCTTCTTGATCACGAGAAGACCTAAAACTAGCAATCCCTTGGTTATTGTAATTCTACAGATGATCACCAGGCCATCTCTTACATGATCAGAATCCTATGAACTAAAATTAAAATGTTTTCCTATTTTGCCACCACTCATACAAATAACTTGTTACAGCTCTCTCTAGTATGAGTAGTCTGTAATTGCAAATGTAAGGGTTCAAATAAAGAACTATAATGATACCTATAAAAAAGACCCCAAATGCTCCAGCAAAACTCCATAAGAAGGCATCTCGAAAGTCATCCCCTTCCAAATGATCATGAGGTTGCTTGTTTCTTCCAGCTTTTAAGCAATTTTGCTGCAGAGGCGGACCACATAGAAAAGGGTTCCCTTCATAACTGGTTGAATCAAAAGTTGCAAATTGATTTTTCATGTCAGGTGTCATTCCCGATAGATTGTTATGAGCCACCGAGAAGACGGACAAGGAGTACAACTGAATTAGTTCTTTAGGAATGTGACCTGTCAATATGTTGCTTGAAAGATCAAGGCTCTCTATCTGCTTGAGGTGGGAAAATGTTTCTGGAATGGGCCCTTTCAATCGATTGTTTGACAAATTTAATGCATGGATACTGCCTAGGTATCCAATTTGTGAAGGAATCTCACCTATCAATTGATTACTTGAGAGATCCATCCCAGACATGAAATTTAAAATGCTTCCTTTGTAAGATTCATACCTGCTTTTTGTTGTAAAATCTACTTCTTGGTCTTTATACAGTGTAAAATTTTCTTTCTCTTTTGGTATGGAAACTTCACCGGTCAGAGAGTTAAATTGAAAATTTGAAAATCTTGTAGTCCATGACACAGTAAAATGTCCTATTTCCTTTTCCCTTGGTGCATCTATCTTTCCAAATGTGATGTTATTCAAGCAATATGGGATGCCTCCAGAAAGCTTATTTTGAGAAAGATCTAATAACCTGATGTTCTTGAGCTCGCATAAACGGGTAGGAATAGAGCCTTCAAGTTTGTTTCCTTTTAACATGAGGACCCTTAAACTCAAAAATGAGCCATTCAATCTTGAAAGTTGACCGGAAAAATTGTTATTCATCAAATTTAAAGTCAACAATAAAGGGAAATTGGCTATAGTGGAAGGTAGAAGTCCCATGAAATGGTTGCTCTCCAAATGCAAGTACTTCAACTTTGAAAAATTTAGACAAATTGGCAAAGAGCCATTGAATTTATTTTTAGAAAGGTCTAGACATGTAAGTTCGGTCAAGTTGCAAAAGCTTTCTGGTAGTGAACCTGTTAAAGAATTCTTTGACAAAATGAGGTAACTCAAATGTTGAAGGTTTCCAATCCAGCTAGGTAATTCACCAGATAGTTGGTTGGCACTAATATCCAACATTCTTAATTCAGTACTATTCATGACCGCACCTTCAAGCTTTCCTTTGAAGTTATTGTTGTTGAGATCTAATAACAACAAAGATGTGAAATTTGATCCTATGGGAAGACATGGGCCGCTGAGGTGGTTGTTTGACAACTTCAAAAACCTCAATTCATTGTTACCTTGACCAAATTCTTGGGGCAAGTAACCAGATAAATTATTATCTGACAAGTCGAGATCATTCAGTTGTCTCATTTCACCTATTGAAGCTGGGAAGCAACCTCGCAATGAAGTTGAAGACATGTTAAGAGAGATCAAGTTGGGAAAAATGAAGCCAACATGAGAAGGGATTTCATCTCTAATGGGGTTTGATGAAATATCAAAAGACTCCATTTGAAGCAGTTTTGAGGTGGAATTGAATTCAAAAGGACCAGTGAACAAGCTGCGGCTCAGATTGAAATAAGTCAATTTTGTGTTGTTTGCCAAAAGCCAGGACGGGAAGGCCCCTGAAATGTTTGTGTTGGTAAGTTCTAGATGTAGCAAGTCATATTGATGAAGAAGAAAGGTAGGCATTCTTTTAGCATTGGCTTCATTCAGAGTACAGTTGCGGATTTTGAAAGACCTCAATTGGAAGGAAGGGATAAATGGGGGATTCTCTGTTTCAAGCCTCAGGTTGGTGTGAGAGCATATAATGGAAAAGACTTTGAGGTTGGAGTTGTTGGCAAGTGAAGAGAGTGAAAATAAGCCGTTGAAATTGTCATCAGTAAGCAAAAGAGCTGTTAGAGACCTCAAAGAATGAAAGAGTGAGGAAGGAAAAGTTCCTTCAAAACGATTTCGTGAAAGATAAAGCGTATTTAAGGATGTCAAATTGCCAAGACATGGAGGGAGTTGCCCCTCCAATTCATTGTCGCTAAGATCCAATAATGAAAGATTCTTCAAATTGCACAGGCCTCCTGCAACATACACCATTTTTCTTCATTAAACTTATTTCATCAGAACAATGTATTTAAATTAATATTGGGCCCAGGAAAAAAGCCTCAACATTGAGCCCAAAAATATGAGTAAAAATAAATTATTAAGCCATTTCCTTTTATTAGTTTTAGCTTGTCCATGTGTCTAAATACGGCTCTATCTTCTTGTTGTTATTGTTTTGTCAACTGTTATTTGTTTTGACTACGTTATTTCAAACTACTGCCGCATGCCAGTTAGGAGATAGATTGGAAATCGGTTTGACAGAATAGTCAACTCAATTTGCACGAACAAGGAAAATTTGAGTGTTTGATTAAAATAAAAATTTTTATCAGCAAATTTGATGTTTATTGGCAAATACTCAATTAATGGATTATGTTCTTTCCATCGGAGATGCTATAAAATATGATGCGTACCTTGTTGTGGCAATGATCCATTGAGGTTGTTATTGCTTAACGTCAATACGGTGAGGGAAGTAAGAGACGTAATAGATTCTGGAATGCTGCCCTCCAAGTAATTAGCACCAAGCCACAGCGCCTCCAGATTACGTGAATGAGAAAGGTCTGTCAAATGCCAAATGGACATGTGTGCGTTAAGCCACAGCCCCTTCAAATTAATTAGTGTGTATATACATGTGTGTGTTTGTTAAAATTTATTGATAATGAATCTGCTAAGTAAGAAAACGTCATCTTATCTCTTACTTTTGACATTTCATTCAATTCTCTCAATTAAATAAAGGCACATAAATTGTTCGGTTGAGATGATTATGCGGCAAAGGTGAATAATTTGACTTCCCAACAAAATCAAGATAAAAAGAAATAGAAACTTTCATATATTTAATGGAGAAAACCTTGTCTATATAATCCTTTTAGCATTTTTCTTAAAATGATGGCCCGGTAATCTTTTTTCTAAAAAAAGATATACTTTTGATACACGTTTCAGTAACTACATATGTCATTCAAAATATAGGATAATATAGAAGACAAAGATTTAGCACCGAAATATGGGAATTCTATGAGCATATTGTATTGTAAGTTCAACACTTCCAAGTTCACGAGCCTGATATCGCCAAGCAGCCCTGTCCCACAAACAACATGTGATCGGTTACTATGAATGTTAGTAGGTATAAAGAATTATAAAAAATAATTCATACAGTTAATATCATCATCCTCTTCATAATTTAACATGAAGTGAAAGTTTGATAATGTAGTGTTTATTAAGCTTGTTTTGGGCCCCTCTATATATCCAAGAAAACATCTTGCCTAGTAATTTATTTTTAAAAAAATATTTACAACATGAATCAAAACGTTTAGTATCTCAAACATTTTCTAAAATATCTTACTTGATTATATTTTTTAAAAAAATGACTAATAAACTTTTGGTACTCAAATTTAATTTGTCTCCGTTATCAATTTGGTCTGTGAGGTTTAATTTTTATCAATCAAGTTCCTAAAGTTTCATACGCAATTTTATTCCCTCTGATGCTATCTATAAGATATAATGATTAAATTATGTAGATTATATAGTTTGTTGAAATAACTGAAAGGTAATAAATACGTAGAAATATTTTTTTTCCAAAAATAATAAAAATGGTAAATGAGAGAGAAATTGAGTAAGAAAAAGATAAGTATGAGAGAGAATAAATGAAGTGATATAACATATAATTATTGGGAGAAAATATAAAAAAATTGGTTCAAATTTCATAAATAAAGCAAAGTGGGGTTTATCATCCTTGAATTAATGGTTAGCGGTAGCAAATGTGCGTTTAGGATTATATATCTTCAAACCATAATGACTAATTTTGTATGATTACGAAACTTTAGGGACTTGATTTATAACAATTAATTAAATTTCATGGACCAAATCAATAAGTGAAGCAAATTTGAGGGACGGAAAGTTTCATTGTTCCAATCAGAAATCATCCACACATATTAGCTAGAACTAGAATGGACTCTTACGCCGGCAAATCAGTAGGCTAAAAGAGGAAACCAACAAAAAAGAACGAGATAAAAGGCAATGAATGATATGATCATAATCATTATTAACTATTTTTTTACCGTAACTGATGTGCTTTTACATCTTCAAAAATCACAGGTCGAAATACTTATAAAAATGTCGGTCTTAATTAAAAATGTATGTTTATGTACTGTGTGTGTATGTATATGTATGCATGAATGATAGAATAGTTAAAAGAAAGAGGGTGACCTGACAAGTAATTCCCACGCAAACGCAACACTTGAAGCTGGATGAAGGGGAGAAAAGAAGAAGCATTGAGTGACCATTTGATGTGTCCCAACTCTTCAGCTCTTTTGTCACTCAAATCAATTACTATCACTCTGTGAGTAGAGTTGTCACACTGTACAGACTCCCAAGTGCAGCAATCAGAGAAGGTTTGGTTATTCCAAGAAGGAAGAGAAGAGCCATTTGGGTAATTGAAAGCTTCTTTCAATTTCAGAAGAGCTTCTCTCTCTTCTTTCAAGCACCCCTCAGCTTCTCCATTAAACCCTAATAATATGAATATGATTATGGCCATCACCCACCGCACCTCTTCTCTCACTGAATACCCCATTTTTCTCAATGCATGTCTTCAACTGCGTGTTGTTCATCTATATATAGAGGCCCTATCTTTGCCTGGAAGACTCAGATGGGGCAGAGGCAAAAAATAAAGCTCCACTTCATATCTGACATATTCATCTAGTCCGAAAATTTTTTTTTGGGAGGGGAGATTAAGATTCCTTCGCCGAAAGACAGGATTATATTGACTTGACCTCTCAATTCATGGTCTTGACAATTAATTGCTAACAATGTGTATTGCACAAATTGTTCTATTCTTATCACTATTTATTCAAAATCAGTGCGAGTGGCCATTTCTGTACAACGTATTAACGGGAATCTTAAACGCCAGATTGTCAGGTAGACAAGGTTGACGGTGCCACGAAGCACGAAGTAAATTATACATATATACATCGAAAGCTTTATTATGCACCATGCGACTATTTACAGTCATGAATTTCTATGATACATTAGTTAGGATATGCATTTGGGCATAAATTTAGAAGATTATGACTTAATTTGTCTCCTCCAAGTGTATATTTATATATTAGGCCTTTAATATATGGTGATTTGGGCTCTCAATGCATATTGTAGACTCTTGAAGATAAATCTCTTCATTTAGGTATTCCTCACCTTAGATGATTTGGCTTTGGGTTCACTTGTTAAATGTAATGTTGAATGTCACATGCATGTTGCCATGAAAGGCTTGATCAACATGTAGGACGCCAACTTGGACGCACCACCTGGGATGTAACTTTATCCGCTTAGGACACCTTATAAAATCACGTCACATCTTATTTTAGCCACTTCAACATCTAACTCATCCCATCTTCCTACGTTGATCAACTGATAGTGTTCTCTAAAAATTTGGTGAGAGACTAATAAGAACCAACTTGGTAATTTAAAATTGGAAATTTCGAAGAGTATCTTGCAATAATTTCATTTGTATTCTTATCATGACTAATAAAAGTCAGTGCGTGTGCCTCAACATTCTGCAAAATATACCCTACAACGCGCATCACATTGGGCCGTCATTGACCAACTGCCATCCCACATCTCACGTCTTGGATGGCTAGATATCTGTACGCATTCACACTAATTTCAAATCAAACCTACCAGCAAGAATGACATTTATCATAAAGTTACAAGGAGTCAAGTTCTGAGAGGAATTTAACGTATAGTTTCCTTGTTGAATCCGGGTCGTGATTATGACAAGTTATGAAGTTGCTGATGAGCAGGATGTGAATGACATATAAATCTCATTCGTGTCATCTCTTCGATCAAAGAAAACTACAGTTTTGTTTCACAAGTGAGGTTCTTCAACGTTGTTAACACACACACACACACACACCCCTATATGCTTCCTGCATGCGTGATTCTGTGATATCTCTTTGTAAAATTTGAGATATATCTTCACACAAAGTCTAAATATGCAGTTTCATTTGCAATTAAGTATTGTTTTGGTTGATTTATGTAGGCCTTTGTCTCAAGTTTCCATGGATCAACCCGATCCAAGAAGTATTCTCTCAAGTGCT